CGACCTCAGGAGGTCGGAATTTTTAATGAATTACAATAAAACCGACCTCTTGATGTCGGTATTAAACAAATAAATAAATAACAATATATTTATTTTTTCTCAATAGGTTTTGTGTAAAATAAAAAACAAAAAAATTATAATACTGACTTCCGAATGTCGGTAAAATTTAATAGTATGAAATAAAAATACCGACCTCATGAGGTCGGTATATTTTATATTTAATTGAGAAAATAATACCGACATCAAGAGGTCGGTTTTTATTGTAATTCATTTTTTCCGGGAAAAATTCCGACCAACGGAGGTCGAAATTTGGTTTTCCCGCTTTATTTTGCATAAAAACCGACTACTTGTAAATACCGACCTCCGGAGGTCGGAAATTACCGACCTCCATTTGAGGTCGGAAATTTTTAGGTCGGTATTCACTGTTTTTTTTAGTAGTGGCAATCGTCCTCATTCATCTCCCCATCTTCTGTTTCATACCTCACTCTATACTACTTTATTCTTCCATTTTTGATGGACACCTCATCATCACCATCATAAGAAAAAAATTAACAAAGTTTTTGCTAGAACATATACTCATTTGCCATTTTTATAAGGGAAAAGGCCCAAAAATGTCCATAACATATTAGAAAAGGTTCAAAAATGTCTTTCTTCCACCTATTGGTTTATAAATATCCTTAACATTTTTTTAGGCTCAAAAATACCCTTTAGTTAATAGAAATCTGATGTGGAATCTAACTAAATAAGTGGCCCACATAACTTTTTTTTTTATCAAATAAATAAACCTTACACTCGAACCATTTTTGATAAATCTAACCCAATTTTCGTATCTTTAATTTTATACCTACTGTTAATTGCTTGTTTTTGTCACATGGAGATTTAAACTTTTGTTTTCTCATCTTTTCAGACTATCACTTTTGAAAAGGATTAAAGCTAGAATTTTCTAAATTTAGAATTAGTTCAAACTTCATACATATGGTTTATAAAGAATCATATGAAAATATTTTAATTGCTTGCTTTCATCTCTTGTTTAATCCGTATGTCTAATTTTTTAAATAACAAGACTTTACAAACACGGCTAGTTTTGAATTGGAAGTTATTGTTCTTAAAGAAAGAAAGAGGAGGAAGAAAAACAGAAAAAAAAAACATTCAAATTGACAGTGAAACGGGTTTGGGTTGGGTGGGGTTTATTTTATTTGATAAAAAAAATAGCTGGACCAATGAAACTTTGCCACTTGTGTAGTTAAATTCCACATCAGATTTCTGTTAACTAAAGTATTTTTGAGTCTAAAAAAAATGTTGAGGTTATTTTTAAACCAATAGGTTTCTGTTAACTAAAGGGTATATTTTAGTCTAAAAAAAATGTTGTGGTTATTTTTAAATCAATAGGTGGAAAGAGGGCAATTTTGAACCTTTTCTCATAAGTTAAAGACATTTTTGAGCTTTTTCCCTTTTTATAATCTTAATTTTTGAAGATCTATTGCTTGAATTTTAAACTTGAAGTTTTCTTGATATCTCTCTTTACCAAATCAAAATAAATAAAAAAACCCCTTTAAAGCATACCAATTAGGGGTGTTCACGGTTTGGTTTGGGTCGGTTATTGGTCAAAACAAAACCAAACCAACTTAATCGGTTTTAAAATTATCAAAACCAAACCAAACCAAAAATAATATACATTTATCGGTTTGGTTGTTTTCAGTTTTGGTTTGGTTTGGTTCGGTTATTAACCATACATAAAAATAAAATAAACAATTCATTCAAAACATGAAAAAAGTGACAACAATCCATTCAAACAAAAAAATAGTTAGAATAACTGGCATTACAGAACTTTTGATCATTGAACTTACTGAATAAAACTTCAAAATTCACTATTTTGGCATTGAAGGAAGAGACAATGACATTTTTAGTCCCACAAAGATTTTTCATAGACACTCATATACATGAAACCAATAAGAAAAATGTTCTCACCTTGGACATTTTTTCTTTCATAAGTAAATTATAAAAATAAATTTTGATGAAACATATATAAAATCTTTAAAATTGTTTATGAATATAATATATTATGTATGTATAATAATAAAATTTATGTATATAACTTTTTGGTTCGGTTCGGTTCGGTTATTTCTTCGATTTTTTTCGGTTTGGATCGGTTTTTATCCAAACCATGAACACCCCTAATACCAATAATTAATTACAATTTATTACATTACAGGGTCTCATAAGTTCTTGTGATTGAAAATGATTTTTGGTGCAAATTAAAGAAGTGAAAATAGTGAAAGCCAAAGGTGATTTTTTCATTTTTGGGAGAGGGGTGGGGGTGGGAAAGAAGAAGGTGAAGTGGGGAATGAGAGACATGATTACAGTGTGAGAGAGAAAATTGTATTTTTTTTTATATTATTTATTTTTAAATATTTAATTTCTGATGTGTCTTTGAAAAAAAGTTAATAATTATGATATGTTACGTTATTAAAAAAAATGACATGAAATTCCATGTGTAAAACGAGTGTACTACACGCATACTCATCAGATGAGAAAAGGGTTTAAAATATCGTGTTTCGGTTAGTTTAAGGGTTGAGTTGACAAAATCATAAATATAAGGATTCAACTTACAAATAGTGTCAAGTACAAGGGTCTCTCAGGTCATTTCGCATTTATAATTTAATCCAAAAACATCCTACCTTACCATCAATTCTTTAATCCAAAAATACCCTCCCTTACCATCAATTTTTTAATCTTAAAATACCCTTATAAGAAAGGGACAAAAAAAAACAAGCAAAAAAAGGCCAAAAGAAGAAGAAAATGAAAGTGGGATCTGCACACGTGACCCACCAAATATCCAAAATCCAACAGAATCCCACAATTATTCCAGAATCTCAATAAATAAATTTAAAAAAACCCTTTCACCTCTCAAAACACATTCATCGTAGTGCGGCCAAAGATCCAATTCTCTTCAAATGATCCCTAAACTCCAATTCTCTCTGATCAAATTCAGTTTTCGTCAAACATTTCTGCAGTAAAATCTCTCTAAGTTAGAATTTTGGGTATTCGATTAATCCACTCCAGGTAATTTCATGCGTTAAATCGTATTATAATGTAACAAATTTGATATGATAGAATTTTTTTTGACTTAGGGTTTCAACTTTAGGATTTCGAACGACTCGATCTATAATATTCTCGCCAATCGTCATATTGTATTGCATTTGTTGTAATATTCGATTGTGATTATAATGTGAGTTTTTTTTTTTTTTTTCAGAAACCATGGAAAATGTACCTATTTTTATAAAGCACAATGGAGTATGGGAAAGTGATAATAGTTTTGTGAATTTTTCTGTTAATGGTGTTTTGGTTACTTCTGGATGCAATTTTGAAGAATTAGTTTCCGTTATAGCGAATCAGCTTGAGAAGGATTTGGATACCAATTTGATAGATATTAAGTACATAGTGAAGGATGGGTATCCACCTATGACGGTACACAGTGATATGAGTGTTAGAGTGTATATTGAACTGAAAAGGATGAATGCAGAATTCACAATGTATCCGCTTTGCGTAACGTTTAAGGATAAGTGTACTGCTGGAAGTTGCTCAAATGTGAACCCTGCTACTGTTTCATCTGATGGTATACAGAGTGAAAATAGACCTGATATATACTTGCCTGATGCCGTTGAGATGATAAGTCCTGTTCGTGGAAAGGATTGTAATGGTATACAGGGTGATGATAAAGGTATAATGAACAGCCAAGATACCGTTGAAATGATGAATTCTGTTCATGGGGAGGATTCTAATGGCGTACGAGGTGATGAGGAAGGTATTATAAACAACGTAGATATTGTTGAGCCGATAAGTTCTGTTCATGGGGAGGATTGGAATGGTATACAAGATGATGATAGAGGTATAGTATTAATAGACAATCCACGGCATCAAGATGTTGAAGAGGGTCAATTGTACCTAGACAAAGAGACCATCGTCAATGTTATGAGGCATTATGCTATCCGAAATAACTTTCAGTTTAGAGTCGAAAGGTCGAGTAGCACCAGGTATTGCATGATACGTATATTGTATATATTTTATCTCGAGTGCATTTGATGATTTCAAACTGAATATTGATAGTGTATATGTATATATATTACCAACAGTTATTGTCTTTTATGCCCGGAAGAAAATTGTTCCTGGTGTTTTAAGTCTTCAAGCCTGCACAAGTCAAAGCTTTTCAAAATAAGAATGTTCAATGATGTTCACACGTGCTCGATAGAGGAAAGATTACATTCACGTCTCTCTTCTGCGGGGATCATTGGAGGTATGATTAGGAACAAGTATGCTGACTCGGAATCTGTATATTCTCCAGCAGATATAATACGTGACATGAAAAAAGATTATGGTGTGGATTTGACCTATATGAGGGCTTGGAGATCGAAGCAAAAGGCTCTTAAAATGTTGAGAGGGAACAAAATTGAATCATATGTGAAGCTGCCGAGCTACCTGTACATATTGATGCATACAAACCCTGGATCCATAGCAAGACTACAAAAATCAGAAGGTGGCTCCTTTTTGTATGTTTTTGTATCGTTGGATGTGTCAATTAAGGGATGGAAATATTGCAAGCCTATTGTGATAGTTAATGCGAGCTTGCTAGAATCAGCACACAGGGGGATTTTAATCATGGCTTACACACAAGATGCAGCGGGTGAGTTAAAATAAAAAATGAGAACATTTATAAATCATTGAAGTTGCACATTTAATTTGTTATATTTGAAAAATACCTAGGGTATACGTGTGTTATATAATCAATACATATGCAGTGTATATCATCTGTAAAAAAGAAGAAGAAGGGCAGCCAGTGCACTAAAGCTCCCGCTATGTGTAGGGTCCGGAGAAGGCCCCAACCACAAGGGTCTATCGCATGCAGTCTTACCTTGCATTTCTGCCAGAGGCTGTTTCCATTCTAAATAAATTGGACATATGTAATAAAAATATTTTAATTCAAAAAATGGATTGATTGTGTGCCTGCTATTTAACATCATCGTTGCAATATTATACCTGTTGTGTATTTGACACTGTTGATTTACTCTAATATATGTTTTATACAAGTATTTTGATTGACTTAAACAGGTAGAATATTTTTGCTCGCATACAGCGTGGTTGATTCGGAGAATGATGCATCTTGGAAGTGGTTCTTCGAAAGGTTCAGGGACGCTTATGGTGCTAGGGAAGGGATGTGCATAGTATCGGACATGCATGAAAGTATCTCAAAAGCGACCTCGATTGTGTATCCAGAAGTGCTTCACTGTATATGTATGTTCCATTTGTGGAACAACATAAAGACGAGGTACACAAAAATTCATACACCTGTCAAGGAACTGTTCTTCGCATCGGCCAGAGCATATACGATTGAAGAATTTGAGCGCCATATGGTTGCGATAAATAATATCGATAAGAGGGTCGGAGAATGCTTGTTAGATGTTGGATATCATAGATGGTCAAGAGTGCATTCCAAAGTCAACGGGACCACGATTATGACTTCAAACATTGTGGAGTCGATGAATACTGTGAACAATCATGCAAGAGATTTACCAATACTGCATTTACTGGAATACATGACGAAGTTGGTTCAAGATTGGCACTATGCGAACAAGATAAATGCAGTAGAGACATCTACGGAGCTGGGCAAAAAGTATGAAGAAATCATGAAGGAAAATTACACTACATCTCAGAGGATGACGGTAAGATGCCATTACCATGTTTTTTTTCATGCCAAAAATTGAAATTGGAATACTTCATAAAAGTATGATAAATAGTCTATATGTAGTATATTACTGAGCATCTTTTTCCAAAATGTAGGTGAAGCCTTCCGCTGATCACTCATATACTGTCGTTGACGATGAAAAACAATTTGTGGTGAACCTGAGAGAGAGAACTTGCACTTGCATAAGGTTTCAAATGGATGAAATGCCGTGCCCACACGCTCTGGCAGTTATAACGTTCAAAAGCATGGATGCATATCAATACTGCTCTGTTTACTACAACAAGGATCACTTGCTGAAAACGTATGACATATCTACGTATCCAGTTCCCAATGAAAGCACTTGGGACATTCCTAGAGAGGTCTTAGAAGAAGTAGTTCTACCACCTACGGGGAAGATTAGACCGGGGAGGCCAAAAAGGTTGAGAATCTAGTCATCGTTGAAATCGCGACCTAAGAGGTGAAAACTTCATGCGGACAATGTGGACACACACAGGGTTACAACCAAAGACGTACAGTAATTTATCGAGGAAAACTTGACACATTTGTTAGTTTTTCTCTTCTTTTCTTTTAATTCAATCATTGTCATTGTTCATGAATTACAATGAATTGTCTATGGAGCTTAATGATTAGTGTTTTGTTTTGCATATCAAGACATTCTTGGTTTGATATGAAATAATAAAAGTGTACTTGTAGCTGACAAGACTACTCTCAAAAGGTATAATATATAAACATGATCCTTAACTTGACGTCAGTTGGCAATTATGACCTTTAATTTTGGATGTGTACAAGTAGGCACTTGTATAAAATTGAACAAATGGACACATTCATCCTACATGACAATTTTGTGCCCTACGTCGCGTCATATGTGTAGTAAGACACTTGTGTCTACTTATTCAATTTTATACAAGTTTAAGTGTCTATTTGTGCACACTCAAAGTTGGAGGGCATAGTTATCTGCTAAAGTCAAGTTAAGGGTCATGTTTATGTATTATGCATTTTCAAAACATCAAGGAAAAACTCCTTCAAACGGGCCTAATTAAGGCTCACAATTGAATTACTTAATTCTCAAGTAATTTAGTACATATCTAATATCAACATTACTGTAATACATGTTTAAGTAATAATAGGGAGAATAGATCTACTACTAAAAGATGCAACTATGTCTGTATATCATCAATATCTATCATTTTTCACTTGGTAAATAAAAATTATTTATTTATTCAAATTTTATAACGAAACTTGATCGAACATACATTTAGAGAATGGAAATTAAATTATTTTCTCAACAATACGCATGATTGCTAAAGACGCAGAGAACAACCCTTTGACACGTGCCTCCCTACTTAACCTGAATCTCGAGCAAATCTATTGTTGAACTGCCTACTTCTTGGTCCTCTTTGTGGTTTAGGCTCAGGCCAAACAACTTGGCCAGCCTCTGTCTAGATAACTGGTCCAAATCTATTAGGTAGACTATCCATGTTCACAACAAAAATTTATGTCCATCTTAATGATCAACATATGGGATAAATCAGCAACCTCAATTAGACACTCAGATTCAGCAAAATGATCAACTATACCTTTTAACTATTAAGTGAAAACTGAAAACAAAGAAATTGAACTTCCTACTATTCAAAAGTTTTTTTAAAAAAAAATACTTTTGAAATTTGGCCAAACACACAAATTTCAAACCAAATATTATAGGTTTTTAAAAATATAAAATCAAATTGATTTGATTTGATTCGGTTTTTCAATTTGAATTGATCTTTATTCAACCATGAGCACCTCTATTCATAAATAGAGAGGTACTTACCCATAGACCCTCGACTCAAGGAGTGTATGATTGAAATTGCACAAAATATATTTCTTCTTAATTTTATCACTCGTAAGTGAAATTTAGTCAACCTGACATTATAGGCGTTTGGCCACAAATATCAATTAATTTTTCACTTTATTTGTAATTTATGAAGTTCAAGTTGAGGATAAAGTTTTACTTGGTTATGTATAATTTTTATAAGAAAATATTTGGAATAATATTATGCTATCAGTAATAGTAAAAAAATCGATAGTAAAACCTTAACTTGCGGATCTATCAATATTCTCCTCAGTTTTCTTATGTAAGAGTTGATTTGTTAGACGATCACTTTATTAATGATGATAATTAACTAACAATTTTTATTTTTTTTGTAGTTTTGAAACAGAAAATTCACTCGTCATTACAACTACAAAGTTACTAAATTAATTACATTCAAGTGGTATTTACTATTTATGATAAATATTGGTGAAAAAAATGTAAAGCCAAAACTTTAAGAAATAAAAAGCCATCCGTTTTTGGGAAGATTACGCGGTTAAGCAAACTTATACTATTTAATTACTCATCTTAGCTATAGTTTGCTATAATTATCACTCACGACTAACATTATACATTAATTACGTGGGCTGACTTCGAGTTTGTATAATTTGTCACGTTTGTATATGTATAATTCGCCAGAATATACAAATACATATGTATAATATACAATTATCTAACCTATATACATATACAATTCATCTCTCTCCCACCCTCTCCCAATCTCGCTCGCCTCTCTCCTCCCTCTCCCAATCTCGCTCGCCTCTCTCCTCCCTCTCCCAATCTCGCTCGCCTCTCTCCTCCCTCTCCCAATCTCGCTTGCCATATATACAAATGCATATGTATAATATACAATTATCTAACCTATATACATATACAATTCACCTCTCTCCCACTCTCTGCCCTCTCTCGCTCGCCTCTCTCCTCCCTCTCCCAATCTCGCTCGCCTCTCTCCTCCCTCTCCCAATCTCGCTTGCCATATATACAAATGCATATGTATAATATACAATTATCTAACCTATATACATATACAATTCACCTTTCTCCCACTCTTTGCCCCCTCTCTCTCGCCTCTCTCCTCTCTCTCCCAGTCTGGCTCGCCTCTCTCCTCCATATAACATGTAGCTACGGCTTGTAATTATCAAACTATAGCTATGGAGAGTAATTAGGCTATTTTTGAGTGGCTATATGTGAAAGTTCCCCTTTAATTAACCACTAAATTGACAAATCTGAACTGCTTAAAAATTAAATGAGTTTTAAATATATAACGTAGAGTGGGGGTGGGGGGGTGGGGGTTTATAATTTAATTTTACACTAAATTGGTTAAAATTATAAAATTACTAACGGCTTAGTAATCAATGATGGTTAAGATTGACAAATAAATTATTCCTCAACTTGGTTGAAATTACTAAATAATAATTTTCTTTTTTATTAGAATCGAAGAATAAACTAATAATCATAAACCTTAATGAATAAATATTACTATGTATATATATTTATGGTGTCCGTTACAGAGAATCCATATAGTGAAACAAATTTCTACGCTTATATTGATAGTTAATGCAAATTATTTTTTACCCATTAATTAGTCCTTTATAAATTATTTAGGTTCGGACTCCTCTACTATGGAAGAAAAACCTTCCATATATAATAGCAGATCGGATTAAAATATTTTGTCAATTTATTTTAACTTGTTCATTATATTAAAAATATCTTTTTATTTTATTGGCATATCAACAAAAAAAAAAAGAGTTAGAAAATTGAAGGTTAATATAAACTTCAAAAAAAGAAACCAAAGGACTTTGGCGATTTTATAAAGATTGTTCGATCTTTTTTAGAAATATATAAAAAATATAGCTACTTGAATTAAACTCAAGTATTTTACCATGATATTGAAAAATCTACCGGTAAACTATACGTGTGTTTTGATGAAATACGTTCATTGTGTTTTTTTTTACGAAATTGAGAGACTCCGTTGATTTTCTTTTTAAAAAATATTTTTGTATATAGTTTTTTAGCTTTTATCGCGAAAAATAATCAACAGACATCCATCGATCGTTTTCCTAAAAGGGTATGTTTGGAAAGCCACCAGGTAATTGGAATTGGTGTAATTACTAGGATAGTAATTACCAGCCTAGTAATTACACAACTTAGTAACTATGATGACATGTTTGTTTGCAATAGTGTAATTACAAGTGTACTGTTTCGTTGCACAAGTGTAATCTAAAGTTATATGCATTTTAAAAATAAAAATTAATTATTAAAATTAAAAAATTTATTAGACAAATAAGGGTAAATAAATGATATTAAATATAGTCTTTTGAAAATATATTAATTAATAAACATATGTTCTTAACTAATATTATAAAATATAATTGATTTATATTTTTCAATTTAATATATTTTAATTACATTAATCATAAAAACTAAAAGTACAGAATTTCTATGAACATCATGAAATACATGTTTGACAAAAAAATGAATATTATAAATATAATGTCATAAAATTATAAAACATTTGACAAAATGATAATCTATCAAGTCTAACTTAAAAAAAATAGTTTGCAATATAAATATCGAGTCAATACTCCTAAAATAAATGAAAGTGAAAATATAACATAAGATCTAAATTCAAAACAAAATAATTAACATAATACTCTTATGTCAAATTTCAACATAACATACATAAATATGATTTAAAAGAAAAGAAAAACATAGTCCATAACTTTATTCAACAGTGAATTCTACTTTAATTTAAAAATTATAATACTAACAAAGCTATACTAATATTTTATTTTTTTTGATAATACAAAAATTGCATGGAATCATGAAGTAAAGGTTGAGAATAAAAAGGAAATGAAATATAAATAATAATAAAATATTTTTAGAAAATATTAGAATAATAAAAATAAAATACATTAAAATGAAAAAAAATATAAATATAAATAAAATGAAGAAATTAAAAAATAATTAGTTTGTAATTACACTATGTAATTACCAGCAATTCACAGCATCCCCCTATGAATTGGAAAGTGTAGTTACACCCAATCACCTGCTGACCAGATAATTACATGGCCAACCAAACAGGACAGATAATGCAATTACACTAAATTCAATTATCAGAGTAGCCTTCCAAACAAGCCCAAAGATAATTCATTAATAAAACCTACATACTCAGTTGATTTAATGTTTTTTTTAGTAGTGACATTTTTATCATATAAAAAAAAATTCATATTTTAATCTTGATATTAATTACTTATTCTTCAAATTATTTTTTCAAAATTTAAGATTAAAAATAATAATAAAAATATTATGATAATATCTAATATCAATCATCACTTCTTAATTAAGAACGTATAAAATATAATCTGAACAAGTAAATAATAAAGGATCTATACATGGTAAAATCTCGACCTTTCAAGGTTTCTCCTTCAAATACATAAACTTCTCCTCCCTAAGAATAATAATTTCTAACCAAGTACGCCCTTCATTTATTTTTATTTTTAAGTATTGGTTTGACGCTTAAAAAAGGGATAAGACACAAGTATCCCCTAGACTATAATCGAAATTTCAGAGACACATCTTAACTAAACTAAGGTCCTATTACTCCCTAACTTAATTTTTTTTGTAATTTTGTACACCTTTTGTCTTACGTGGCACATTTCGTGACTCCACGCAATTGAGATGTGTGGGAGATATTTGGATGTCACGTAAGCCAAAAAGGTGCACAAAATTACAAAAAAAATGGGTTCAGGGGTAATAGAACCTTAGTTTAGTTAATAAGGTGGTGTATCTCTGGGATTTCGGTCATAGTCTAGGGGAATACTTGTACATTTTCCCCTTAAAAAATAATAAATAAAATAACAATTTTATCAGATCACTCCTTGAATAAAATAAATTCAATAATTTAATAGATAATTATAGTTAATAATAAAAGCAGATTAAAACTAAGTGATTAATTATGTATTAATTTTTCAAAATGAACAAGTAAACATCAATATTTATTTTTAATATAGTAAATAAGTAAAAGTGGATTTAGAGTGGACTCCACACTATTGTGGCCACTTTACAAAACCTCAAAATCATCATCACATGTTCTAAAACATTATAAATAGGAATGGAGTCACCATGCTTTAGTGAATTGATAAGTGAAGAAAACTTTAATTTGCAACTTGACAGTAGAGACAAGATTTATAAGGTATATGCCCTATTTTTTTTAATTTCCTTATAATATTGAGATCATTTCATGTAACAGTTTAATTTTGCAGATCTAGAAGTAGCTTTTTTTTCTTTTTCTTTTTTTTAATTATTATTATTTTATTATTTTATTTTTATTTTTAAGTGGTGATCTAGAAGTAGCTTAATAAGTGGAGTTGTAATGACCCTCCTAGTCATTTCTGTGTCTTGTCTTCTGTGTGTCATTTAAAGTGTTCTTGTTGCAATCCCAAGTCATTTATGACTTGCTGGGACTAATAGTTCGGTCACCTGGTCGTTCGTTTGGTTTTGGTGCGAGTTTTTGTGTTTTGGAGCTTATGAACCTTGAACAATCATTTTCGATCAAAAGCTCAAGAAGATAACATTGGAATCCATTTCTGACGACTTCATCAGCTCCGAAAGGGTCATTTTAGGCTAGTAGCATGGTCAGCATGACTCCCGAGGTTTTCAGTGTGAGTTGGTGCGATTAGGCGTTTTAACTTTAAGTTTAAGCCTAAGTTTGACTTTGGTCAACATTTCTGAGTAAACGCGCTCGGATGAGAATTATGTCAGCGCGGTTAGCTCCGGAATGTCAAGTTTGGTCTAGATTGACCTTTCTTTTGTGTCTCGAAGTTTTTGATATTTTTCGAAGCTCTTTTGTGGTTTTTGACTTAAATTGACATTTGGGTGTGGGACGCACTTTTTGTCAAGATGACCTCGTATGAAAATTTTGACTGTGTTATTGAGTTCGTAATATCGAATTTGGTATTGTTGCATATCTCATTTGCGTGCACAGGGTTCCGAACGAGATCAGAGCACCCCATCAGAGATTTTAGTTTTTAGAAAATTGCAGAAAATCAGCTATAAAATGCAGATTCATCAGCAACATTTCCCAAACTTAAAACCCTCATAACTCTCTCATCTTTCATCTGAATTAGGTGATTCAAAGTGTGGGAGCTTCGTATTGTTGGTGGCTTCGCTGTAAAGTGTTCGGAAGTTGTTGGGTACGCGTAGTTCGAGGTAAATTTCTCGATAAACCTGACTGTTGTACTCTTTTTCGAGCTTTTGTTTTTGGCATCCTTGTTTTGGTCATATCTCACTCATTTTAGCTCGGTTTTGGGTGATTCGAAATCCCAAGTGTTGATAATTTTCATGGCTTCGTCGTAGAGTGTTCAAGGAGTGTTGGGCACCATTAGATCCTTGTAGATTTCGAGTTTAGATTGCTGCAATGTTTTCTTTTTAGTTTGATTAAAGTGTGATTTTCTTGTTTGTTGGTTTTTGCTGCGTTTTGAGCCCGAATTGTGTTCCATTTTGGAACACAAGTTTGGGGTGTTGTTTAGGGTATCTTGACGGAGTCAAATTCGGACAGTTCGGTGCGGGTTCCACGATTTCCGTTTTGACTCCAAAATTGACCCGTCTCCGTTTGTTGTGATTTTGGTGTCTAAACGACCATAATAACGTTGTGACTCTATTTTTGATAGCGGGGCAGCGTTTTGAGGCCGTTCGGAAAGGGAAAGCTCCGGAGAAGTGATTTTGGAGCCCGTGTGATCGGCCTAAAGGTAGGCTACGGTTTCCCTCTCTTAGATTGAACTTGAGAATGTGAATGCATGTTGATTAGTTGGGATTTGGGTTGGGTAGTTATTGAATCACGTTTAGGTGTTTAAAAATCATGTTTTCGGCCTATTTCGAGAATTATCGAGTAACTGTGAGTATGTTTTGTATTATTAATTGACCCTCCTCGCTATGTGGAATGCTTGCATGCTTAATTAATGTTTATTTGAAGCATGTTGGGCCTTAGTTTAGGTTTTACTAGGGCTTGCCTTAGAAATACATGATTCAGATCTGATAGGCCTTAGTTTTGCCCCGACTTCGCTCGATCGGCTCAGATCCTTGTAGACTGGTGTAGCAGACTTGAGTCTGATAGTTTGGGCCTTAGCTAGGCCAAATACTTGCTCCGATTATAGTTATCCTTATTTTCCCCGATGTTACAGCTTCACGAGTTACGTCGGTGACACTAATTCTGCTTCACGATTTGAATTTGATTTTCAATTCGGTTCCAAGGACTTTCATTGATTGGCTAAGTGTGGATGGTATTCCACGGACATTATGAGCGTGGATCGATTAGGACCCTTTCAGCAGCTACATTGGCACTTTTATAGAGCATCCGGTTTAAGGTCCGGCCTCTATTGCCCAGATACTTATATAGAGCATCTGGTTCAAGGTCCGGCCTCTATTGACCAGATACTTATATAGAGCATCCGGTTTAAGGTCCAGCCTCTATTGCCCAGATACTTTTATAGAGCATCCGGTTAGAGTTCCGGCTTCAGTTACTTGATACTTGTGATTGGTTACTTGGGTACTTCTGGTGAGCATTCGGTTCGAGGTCCGGCCTCCGTACTATCAGATTCTACTAATTAGGGTTGAAGTTCTGGTTCGATGTTCTCCGTTCTTGGGTTCTTATATGCAATTCTCTTTAGTTATAGTTATTCTGTATACTCGTCGGACTTATGGGAGTCCGTTCGGGTTTTTATTTAAATTGCACACGAGTGTACCTTCTGGGCTTATGGGGTCCAGTTGGGTATAGTTAGCTTATAGATTACTTTAGTTAGTTCTTTATACACTCGTGTGCATTCCATTGTTAGTTAGATTTTCGCTCTTGACTTCGGTTTGTATTATTTCTTCTTTTCTTATTGCCTTTACTTTTCAAGTGCAATCGGTCTATGATGCCTATTGGGTACCTGTTGTTTTGGTACTCATGCTACGCTCTGCATCTATTTCGTGATGCAGGTCCGAGCACCAGTGGTCAGCGTTGATCCAGTTTGGAGTAGTCTGATCCGGAGACGGGGGTGAGCACACTGCGTTTTGTACTATTTCAGTCTCCATCTGTGTATATAGACTTGTCTTTTACCTTTCGAGACGGTCCAGTCTCTGTGGTCCACTTTTGAGACTTGTACTCGTTTTGTTAG